ACAACACAGTGTGACAACCGTAGAACTTTAGAACCTCTATTCTTTTCATTTTTCTAGGCATATACAGTAGCTGTTGTGAGATCTATTGGTGCCGACTCATCACAAGCATTGATTGAGAGACGCTATTCAGAATTCTACACACTCAATCAATCCCTCAGAAAAAAGTTCCCAGAACTGATGCAAAATATTGCTTTCCCTCGAAAAACAATCACTGGAAATTTCAAACTTCAGACAATTGCCGAGCGCAGTAGAGCATTCGAACAGTATCTGTCTCATATATTTACCTTCGAAGATGTTCGGACTTCGCCGGAGTTTGAAGACTTTTTCTACAACCGAGACCTCCAGGTGGCTTATAAGTACCTCTGTGTTGGGGAATATCAAGAAGCGATACCTGTATTACAGAATGCATTGCATCTGGAGGAAAAGTTGTTAGGAGAAACCCATCCAAATGTCATCGAGACACTCAGTGCACTTGTGGTTGCCTACTGCCATATTGATAGCGATGCACATGCGCACAGTTATGCCAAAGCAGCTCTTGACTCAATAATTGACGATAGCGATGATGACGTAGAAAGTAATGTCTTTCTAGTACCTCTACTACGAACAGCAATAGGAATATGCTGGAGAATTGGTAAAGATAAAAGACACCTTGAAATGAGACTCTCTAGGAACGTTAAGGACGTGTTTGATGCAGAAAGCCGACCCGCTTTAAAAGAGCTCGTCCTAAGGAGGTTTATGTCGCATACTCCACCGCCAACTTGAGCGGACACCTGTTGTATTACATCTTTTAATAATCATATTCATAATCATGATTAGGGCAATTGCTGTTATTCATGCAAAGCAGTTATCAATTCCTCCCACCTATAGGTAGAATACATGCAAATACTTCAAATTTACCATACTTGGACATATACCCAGAGGATAATAAATGTTGGTAGTCCTGCCAATATTTATATCCAGTTATAATACTGATACTGAGTACACTGATATTCCCCATGTTTGTGCATGTATATGGTCTGCATCTATCGATGACTCATAGATGGGAAGAAAGTTTTTCCCAGTTTGCTGTATATTTCATGGTATTTTTAATCTGATTCAAAGTCTTGTTCAGCATCACAGCCAGGTTTAAAAGTACATTATGCAGTCGACAATTTGTTTATTCTGGTATGCATGATAGTGTAGTTGATTATGTCGGGTACTTGCAGGCTTGTTCGTAGTTGGTTCACGATGGCTACCTACTCCTATTTTCAACTAACTGTACACATTTCTTGGGTTTAGTATTTTTCCTCGCTAAATGTCCGAGTATGGTAGACAATTTGCATGTTAATGGTATCTAATTTGCATATTTAATCATTTATACATATCAACAGAGGTACATTACTTGGGGTTTGCAACTCGCATAGTACTGTATGGTGACATCATGTCCCATTCAAGTCTCTTCTCGTAGATAGCGAGACTGAGGCTACGACCTTCTGACATGACGCATGTCAATGTTCAAGGTTTGTAATGAAAAAAATAAACTTTTCTTGTCACTATCATAGTGAAAAATGTAATACATCGAAAATGTACAGAAAATATAGTTCTCGTAATCTGTCATATCGTGGGCAGCTATTTTGATCCACCTGGACATCCCAGTATCCTAGTTACCTCGGGCATGCGCATTCACATTTTTTCTGAGTTGGAACGCTTATGCAAGAGCGAGATTGTGACGGGATCTTGGTATCATGTCACCGTAGTTACAAACCCCAAGTAATGTACCTCTGATATCAATAATATATTGTTTTTTTGGAAAGTTCAAGCATGGCATTTACCCATGCACGCAGGCACGGTAAAATTGCCATTCTGAAATATAAAAGTGCTGGATAAAATACTTGTATGAGTTCATCAAATTGAACCCTCCAGTTATAGTTATTCAATTTTGACTGGAATCATGTGAAACCGTTTAATGATTAGTGATCGATTCACCAAATCATGTATGAAAGGGGGGCCACAAGAACATCGTATGGTATCTTGCACATATGCTTTATTAAAGATGTCCATCTCATCTTCAATGTTGGATTTAATTTCCACTACTGGGAATTTTTTCCTGATTTTATGGCATTTGTGAAGAAATAATTCTCACTGGCTTAGAAATTTGCAAAAACAAATTTTAATGTGTGGTGGGGCAAGATAAAAAATACAAATACCTGCGATAATTTCTTTACGACGCAAGGCTGAAATAGTTGTGCTATGTTTTAGTTGTACATTTGTCATTAATATATCCCTAACTTGATTGAAAATTCAACAAATCCTGTAGCATAATCAAATGAATAGAAATGAAATTCTCAGTATTAATTTATAGGGTCATTAATTAATATTTGTCTTACATTATCTAATATTTCATATTAACTGTTAATACTTTACTGTACAAGATTACGTCCCGTCTGTCAAATACCCATATATGGTTGTATAAAAAGAATGTAGATTACATAGAGACTGCATTGTTTCATCCATGGTTTCACTAGTTACTGGTACATGGATTTTGCACGCTATAGTCTCTGATTGGCTGCGTTTCCAGGTCATGTTGGGTCAGTCGGTATATTTTAGCAATGTAGGAGGGCGTGGTTTGC